TTGTTCACAATTTCTCCACATTTCGAAGTGTTTCCCGAGCCAGAACGACCTATCTTTCTTCCTGGCTTGCTCAATAATGATACTACAATTCAAATGCAATACCAACAACAACTCAACAGCAACAACGCAAACTACGACAACAACCCACACATTGCGCATTGTTTAGAGCGGTCATAAAGTGTTGAAGCGCTCAAGTTTGAAACTGTTTCAACCTGTCACCTGTCAGAATCGAGACGAGGCAGTGCATTGAATCGCGTGAATGGACCGTGAACCAGTCAAGTGATTCATTCAGGAAATGAAGCAGTTGCTGCTTCGGACGTCACATGTCACGTGATTTGAAGCAGTTGCTGCTTCGGACGTCATATGTCACGTGATTTGAAGCAAGCTTCGAAGCACTGCTTCTATGGAATAGGAAGTCCAGGGTTGAAGCTCCGTTCGAAGCTTCAGTGTCAAACTGCCATCACTACTCCAAGCCTCGGTCAACACCCAAATCAGCGACATGGCGGAGGCGGTGCATCGTGTGCTGGCACGCCTGGACGCCGGTGCCACTGCTCCGGCATTACCTGATGCTGCGGCTCATCCTCAACAGCTGGCAGCCCCTCCTACTACAGCGGCGCCGCTTCCTGGATCTCATGCTGTCCCGTTGCCTCGCTTGGCCCCTCCAGATACGTTTTCCGGAGATTCCAATGACTGTAGATCCTTTCTGACTCAGTGTGATCTACACTTTAAGTTAATGCCCTACATATATAGCTCTGATTATGCTCAAATTGCATTTATCATTTCTCATCTGTCCGGCCGTGCGGCTGCATGGGCTACGGCGGAGTGGGAGAACAATTCTGCAACTTGCAACTCTGTCTCTCAGTTCATCCACTCGTTTAAAAGAATGTTTGCACATCACACACCAGCTGTAGAGAGCGCACAGCATTTGACATACATTCAGCAAAATCAACGCCGAGTGGCGGATTATGCAATTGAGTTCCGCACCATGGCTATTGATTGCGATTGGAATGATTCAGCGTTAAGGGACATATTTCGGAACGGACTATCAGAGAAAATTAAGGATCATTTATTGCTTATGGATCCTCCCACAGACTTAGAAAGTATGGTAGCGGCTGCTATTAAGATTGACAATCGCATCTGTAGAGATAGAGAAAGAAAGAAGACTGCCGTTTCGTCCAGCGGAACCAGAGGGTTCTCAACAGCTGTTCATCCTGTCCGGAGGACATCATTCGGCTCGTCACCTGCTTCAGAGGCCACAGCGCCCCCCATTGACTCGGAGGAGCCGATGCAGCTCGGCAGGGCCAGAATCTCACCGGAGGAACGACGTCGCCGCCTAGTGGAGGCAAGATGTTTCTACTGCGGTCAACAGGGGCATCAACAAGCCATGTGTCCAGTAAAAGAACAGGCTCACCGGTGAAAGAGAAGACACTGGTGAGCCAATCTGACTTTTTTGACTTCCCTCCACGCACATTAACTCAAGTTATGCTATGTGAAGGTAATCAGGTTATTGAACAGGGGGCACTTGTAGATTCTGGAGCCGATGAGAGTTTTTTGGATAAAGAGCTAGCTCTTAGGCTTAACCTGACGTTGACGCCATTACCTTCGCCATTAAAAGCGAACGCGTTAGATGGGCGCCTACTATTCACAGTGACTCATTGCACCACACCTGTAAAAATGACACTCATGTTGAGAACATAGTTTTTCATGTGTTTAAATCAGCTCAACACCCGATCATTTTAGGTTACCCTTGGTTACTTTTGCACAATCCTGTCATTGATTGGCGGTCAGGGAAAGTACAAGAGTGGGGAATGTTGTGTAAACAGAAGTGTGTACACGATCAGAGTAAGTTGATACTGAGGAAAATCTCCACTTCTAAAGCAGACTGTCACAACGAACCTCTTTCTGACTATTTTTCTGATTACCCTGATTTATCAAAGGTCCCCACATGTTATCATGATCTTAAGGAAGTCTTTAGTAAAGCTAGGGTGAGTGCACTACCACCCCATCGGCCTTATGATTGTGCTATAGACTTGTTGCCAGGATCCACTATTCCCAAGGGCCGTCTGTACTCCCTGTCAGCTCCAGAAAAGGGGTCCATGAAGGATTACATCGACACCTCACTCAAGGCAGGACTCGTCCGACCGTCTTCCTCTCCTGCCGGAGCGGGCTTCTTCTTTGTGAAGAAAAAAGATGGTTCTCTCCGTCCCTGCATCGATTACAGTCCACTGAATGACATCACGGTAAAAAACAGATACCCACTCCCTCTCATTGACTCTGCTTTTGACCTATTGCAGGATGCTAAAGTGTTCACAAAACTGGATTTACGCAACGCTTATCATCTGGTAAGAATAAGGGAGGGGGATGAGTGGAAAACTGGATTTAATACCCCAACAGGACATTACGAGTACCTCGTAATGCCTTTCGGGTTAACTAACGCCCCAGCAGTTTTCCAGGCGCTGGTCAATGATGTACTCAGGGAGTTTTTGAACGTGTTTGTCTTTGTGTATTTGGATGACATTTTAATCTTCTCTCCTGATAAGGAGACTCATGTGCAATATGTCCACCAAGTACTACAGCGCCTACTGGATAATCACCTGTTCGTAAAAGCAGAGAAGTGTGAGTTCCATGCATCAACTGTCCCATTCCTGGGGTTCATCATTTCTCCTGGACAAATCCTGATGGACCCTGCAAAGGTCAGTGCAGTGGCAGACTGGGCCACCCCCACCAATAGGAAGAAGGTACAGCAGTTGTTGGGGTTTGCTAACTTCTACAGACGATTTATTAGGAACTTTAGCTCTGTTGCTGCTCCCCTTCATGCACTGACCTCACCAGGGGTTAACTTTGTGTGGGGCCTCAGGGCCGAGGAGGCTTTTAATGAGTTAAAAAGAAGGTTTACCACAGCTCCCATACTGACTGTTCCTGATCCTTAACGACAGTTTGTTGTGGAGGTGGATGCCTCCAATGATGGGGTGGGGGCCATTCTCTCACAGAGAGCAGCTGGGGATCATAAGATGCATCCTTGTGCCTTTTTGTTTCGCAAACTATCTCCCGCAGAGAGAAACTACGACGTCGGAAACCGAGAGCTGTTGGCAGTCAAGATGGCCCTGGAGGAGTGGAGGCACTGGCTTGAGGGGGCGCCACAGCCGTTCTTGGTTTGGACCGACCACAAGAACCTTCAATACATCCGCAAAGCTAAGAGGTTGAACTCACGCCAGGCCCGGTGGCAACTTTTTTTTAACCGTTTTGACTTTACATTGTCTTTCAGACCTGGGTCCAAGAATGGCAAACCTGACGTCCTCTCACGCCTCCATGACCCAGAGCCCATAGCCAAGGATCCAGAGCCAATCCTTCCACTCTCCCGTGTGGTTGGGGTGGTGACATGGCCTATAGTAGATCAGGTGAAACGTGTCAATGGTGAGGGGCCGAAACCTAGTGGCTGTCCATTGGACAGGCTATTCGTGCCTGAATCCATGCGGTCACAGGTTATTCATTGGTCTCACACATTACTGCCACTTGTCATCCAGGAGTCAAGCGGACCGTATTCGTCGTTCGACAGAGGTTTTGGTGGCCTTCCTTGGTTAAGGATGTCTCCGAATATTTGGCTGCCTGTGTAGTTTGTGCCAGAAACAAGACGTCATCAAAATCACAGATGGGACTGCTGCAGCCTCTCCCCGTTCCCAGCAGGCCCTGGTCTGACATTTCGTTGGATTTTGTCATGGGTCTTCCTCCATCCAAGGGTAACACCACTGTCCTCACTGTAGTTTTATTGCCATGCCAAAGTTGCCGTCAGCTAAAGAGACTGCTCAGGCGTTATTGACTCATGTTGTGCGTATTCATGGTATTCCCAGAGACATTGTGTCGGATCGAGGTCCTCAGTTTTCCTCCAGGTTCTGGAAGGAGTTTTGCACCCTCCTGGGAGCGTCCGTCAGCCTCACCTCAGGTTATCATCCCCAGTCCAACGGACAGACGAAATGGCTGAATCAGGAGCTGGAGACGTGCCTGCGCTGCCTGGTTTCTCAGAACCCTGCAACCTGGAGCGAGCATCTGACATGGGTGGAGTATGCACGCAACTCTTTGCCCACCTCTACTACCGGTCTGTCTCCCTTTCGCTGTGTCTTTGGCTATCAGGTGTACTCTGTCAAACGTCTCCTGTCAGTGAGAAATCGAGGCCGAGGTCGTCAATTTCTGGTTGATTGGGAGGACTACGGTCCTGAAGAACGGTCCTGGGTCCCGTCCAGTTTTATCGTGGGCAAAGACTTAATCGAGGACTACTACAGGTGTCATCCGGAGGTCCCAGGGCCGTCAGGTGTCGTCCCTAGAGGGGAGGGTACTGTTGTGCGTAGACGGCTCTGCTAAGATTGTTCCCTAGTTTAGGTTTCATGTTATGTGTTTAGATAGGTTCCTGTTTTATTTTGATAGTCTTGTCTACCCTCATGTGTCTAAAGTACGTTTCCTGCCTTGTCTGTTTTCCCACGGTTGTGATTGTCTAATTGTCTTCACCTGGTGTTGTCTGTCTAGTATATATAGTTCTCGTCTTCCCCTGTCTCGTTGCCAGATTGTCTTGTGTGTTCCAAGCCTTCCAGCGTAAGATCCTTTTGTCATTGTCCATAGAGTTAGATTAGTGTATTAGTAGTTTTTGTTTTGTTGCTTTATGTATTCAGTGTGTTATGACCTGTCTACATTAAAACACTTTATTTTGATACTTTGTTTGTCTCTGCATCGTGCATTTGATTCCACGCCCTTGTACAGCCCTAACAACTTGCTGTACTGATTTGTGTTTGAATATATCTCACCTGCATGCATACCTAGAGCCAATGAAGTACAAGTACCTTATAGATCCATTTCCTTAGCATTGCTAAATAAGGTACCTGACATTAATAAAAAGGTAAGCTAATGGGATCATATCAAATGCAACCTCATAGGGCTGCTACAGTAGCATGGCTTTAGACTCTTAATCAAACTCTCGAATCCAACTTAAATCAGACTATTCACACACAAAGTTCTGATCATCCAACACAACATTTTATTCGTGAACAGTCACAGATGTGATATATAAATAGGGCAACAACATCATTTATTAAATATATAGACAGTTTCTACTTTTCTATTATCACAGTATACATTTTGAGAACACATTTTCGTATGCAAGGCCACCAAAATACATTTAATGTAAGTGAACACACTGTGCAGTATGCTGCACACATTACAGTAATTAACATCGGAACACAGCCGTTTGACAGGGGAACTGGTGAAAATCAATCGAATGAGTCACTATTTACCTTTTCGTCAGTATTTAAAATCAATACTACAATATGAAATCATGCTTAAACTTCCAACTAGAAGTAGTCAAAGCCAATATTTGCGTCACAGTTCAGGCGGTTGGTCACGCTTTGAGATATATAGCAGTTTAAGATAAATAACTTACTTGAGGTGATGAGAACGTAGACATCAATATGATAACAACCAGATTCAGAGACAGCTTCATTATTGGCAATAAGACTGTTAAACAACTGAACTGCTGAAACAATTTCATAACATTCATCTGCTACTTAGTAATTATTTATCTATTATCTATCATTCCAATAACTTGTATATAGACTCGTATTGCACTATTCCACTTTCTTTTCTTTTTTTTAACACTATTTTTCTTTTTTGTATTACTTTTAATATAATATACTCTAATATTGTTTTAATATTGTCTGTTTATCTGTATTATTGTGTTGCATTGTTGGAGAAGCCTGTGAGCTAAGATTTTCAATGACATAATTACTCTGTAGCTATGTTAGTTTGACAATAAAGAACCTTGAACCTTGATACGTCTGCAGTTGTTTGAATGTTAACGTAGGAAATGAAGAAGAACATAATGTAAAGCTAATTGCTAACACTTTGTTTGTGCACATTCATTTGGGTATCTGACCCACAAAACAGAATAGAAGACCCTGTCAGATTTGTGTAGGCTGTCTTGGGGAGAAATGGTTTCAAAGAAACTGTTTTTCTGACGGAGGGATTTTATAAAGATAGGTGCTAAAACGAAGTGTTTCAAACAGAGTGGGAATACAGGTTTTTTCAGGCAGCAAATGTAAAGAAATGTTTTTTTAACTTTAAAGCATGAAAACATGTTCAGGTAGAAACCCTGAATCCAAGTTTGAATCTGTAAATGTGCATTATATGTCACCTTTAAATTGTGTTCGGTGCATATAGCGTACTGTAAGTTAATATTATAACAATATCAACACTTTTGCATTTCAGATGAATACATTAAGGTTGATTGAATTTAGTTCAATAAAACATAAACATGCCCACTATGACATACTGGATTACTGACCAACATCATAATACAAATAAAATAAATAAAAACCCTGATATTTTAGTCATCCTCACTTTTATAGAGCTTTCACAGAATATCGCTCAGAGTATGATCGTGGTCTCTATGCTCTCATCTTTACAGTTAAATTGGGCAGTTAAAGAACTAAAAATGTGTTATTTGTCAAAGAAAACAAACCCCTCTCACAAAAGGCTCCACTGGCAGTTGTTAAAATATAAAATATTGATTCACCTTCGTAAATTGGACCGTCAAAGTATAAAACAGAAATAAAGTCTTCAACAAATGTCAGATTCAAAACTACTTTTTTCTACTCAATACATATTTAAGACAAAAACCAACCGTTCTTTACCAGTGTTAACTTTCCAGTACTTTTTCAGTCTTTGGCACATTCTTCTTCTAGTCTTCAGTGTTCACTCTGCTGTTTAGGCGCCGCCCGTTAAGGCCTGCCCGTTCTTGGCACTGTCAGAGATGTTCCTTTCCTTCTTCTCCTGAGCAGCAGTGGTCCGTGTCAGATCCTGGATCAGTTTGGAGTTGAGGAAGCGCCTGTAGGAGTCTTTCTCCATCAAGGTGTAGATCATCTGCTGGGCCACGTCGAAACAACACGGGCAGGGGTTCTCTACGTTTTTCTTCGTTTCCTCTCTGATGGCCGCGTCTAAGTTCACCTTTAATAAATGGAAAGAGAGAGGGTTGAGATTTATCAGGATTTCAAGAGCATAAACTTGTATTATGACATACTATATTGCTATAGTTAAAACAAAAGATCTCAATAATATTGTCCTATGGCAAAAGAAAAGCTTGGAGGAAAGAACAAAGCATTTGCAAATGTATATTCTCAGTTTATTTTTACCAACTTTTCAAATGTTTTCAGTCAACCCATATGACTGAACTGAAGTGTTCTTAAATTCCCTCATTCATTCTAAGTGCTTGAAGGCTTTTTGGTATAGCAGCATTGTGACTGAATATATTCATAGCTCTGCAGTCACATCAGCTTCAATTATTCACTTTCCTGAAGGAGATGTACAGCTGCATTCATAGGATGTATCTAATATCTGTGCGGTGTGTTTGAAACAATATTAATTAATCTACATTTTTGTTTTCCGCTTCTCTCTCTAGAATACTTCCTGGCAAAATAAGCTAAGGTACTTTTACATTTTTCGTCATAACATACTGATGAAGCTCTCTAATTGACATTTTATATCTTACATTCTTTGATAACAAATATTACCTCATTGGTGGCATTGGCCTCAACATGTTGCTGGTAGATCTGCTTGGATCTGTTGGCCATCTTGGAAGGAGCAGACTTCTTGTATACTTCGCAGGCGACCCAGAAGTCTAGATTCTCCTTGCTAAACTCTGACTTCAGGAAGTTGCCGAAGACGGTACGACCCACTAACACAGAGGGGGAAAAAGCATCTTTTAATATCCAATGCACCTTACAGACACATGAGTATGCACATTGGCAAAGCTGAAGTATCATTAATAGAGGGTATGTTATGTATTGAAGATCCTTTTAACTAAAAAGAAAATACAGCCTTGACATATATTAAAATTATCTAAATGGTAAATGCCCATATTTGTGTTGAAGAATCAGAATCAGTGGTACAATTTAAGGTGCCAATATTTGCCAAAATGCTTCTAACTTCCGTTTCCCAATCCGAAAGCTATTTATTAGTTTAAATTGTCTCCAAATTGCTTGTGAGGTGCGTGAAATCAAATAGGAAGATTGTCTCCCCTTGCTAACTGAGTGGAACCTTATGGCAATAGAACATTTATATAATTGAGCACTGGCTGAAACAGTCACTTAAAATCTTCCTCATCAAGAGAAAATAATCACTTTACGTGACAGCAGCGTAATTATACTGAGTTATAACATCTCACCGAGAGATCATTAAGTCCTGGCGGCAATAATTTCATCCTTTCTTTTAAGATGCACAAGACAAGTGTTTTCCAATAATCAATGGAAGGCAAAACCTCAAACCCTCAGCACTACGATGACAGCACGGAGACCATTGAGGCCAGGATAAGATAAACGGAACCAAAATAGAACCAATAAAAGCAGAAGGAGGACATGACGACGTTGGGAGGTCAGTGGATGAGGTCAGGTTCTCGGAAGGCCATTGCTCCCTTTTTGTGTTTGCGTACTCACACAGTGTAATTCTCAGTGGGCTTGTACATACACACACAAACACTTGTTCACTCTGCACTGGTCAGCATGCCCTGAGGGGCTGTTGAGTTGTGCCTAGAGACACGTAGCAGAGGAGCAGAGCATGAGAATGCGTTGGAGAGCGCCTGTTTGCGTCTGTGCATAAGTCGGTTCAATTTCCATGTTTGTGTGACCAAGTCTCCTTCAATTTTGATTATCATCATGATCTGCTGCTACCTAATAAACGCTGCCAAACCAACATATTTGCTTTAGTAAATGTATTTCATTTCCAATGTATGCCATACAAAAAGTCAAGAAAGCGATCCCTTTTGACCTGCCAAAACTTTACTAGCAGCCATTGGCAAGAAATTCGAAGGACTTGCCTGATCATTTTCCCAGGATAACAGCACAATCATGTCACACGAGAATGATAGTGTTTAGGTTTTACGTTTTTTTTGTAAGCCCTTAGAGAGATACTGCTGGTAAAACCAATGAGTCAAGCATCCGCATGGCAGTAATTGTCCGTATTGTTGGTGACAGACGATGAGCAAGGAGGGCGGAAGTTCTTTGGGTTTGCTTTGGACATAAACATAACCTAGTCAGGAAGTTTTAGGTTCTTACTTCAGGTTAAAAAGGCATGAAGCAACAGTGTTATACTTACTCTCACTGGTAATCACATCGTTGAAAGATTCTTTCCATTTCTTCACCTCAGCTGCAGTTGGCCCACTAAAACACAGATGGAGGGTTTTATTTAAAAAGGTTGCAAATACTTTTTGAGCGTTTTTAAATTCAACCTGCGATATGAATGTAGCAATTTCACTGTAATAAAAAAAGACGAAATTAAATGACACAGATTGTGTTCAGGGTCTGAATTTAACATTAAACCATATCTATTGTGGACATAAATACGTTTTAATAATGTACTTAGAGCACTGTTTGAAAAGGTTAAGAAACCATCCTACTGGATTCTTGGAATTCAACTCAAACAAATACAAAAAACTGAATGCAAAATGTTGTATCAGAAGTATGTCCATAACAATTATATAAAAGAGTATACAATATAGTGGTGCAAGAATGAGTCCTGAAACAGGCAAATGAGTTAGCCTTGATCTCTTCGGTTCCCTCATTTGTTTAGTTTCATCGGTTATGGTTAGATGGTCGAAATATGGCAGTTGTAGACAAAAGCCAAAGATAACCTAGAAGGTTGTTTCCACCTAAAATACTTAATGAAATACCCCATGAATATATGATATTTTGTCTTTAAACAGCAGTTGTTACATGTGGCTAAATAAAACTAAACGTCATCAAGCATTGACCATTGCAATGCTGACTTGTTAGCCTACAAAAATGAATCACCCCTGTGACACTCAATAAAACTATAAAAAAGATTTACATTTCTAATTTCTTATTTCGAGAATGTAGCTGAATTTGAAGTATAAATGCCACATTATTAATGGGTTCAGATTTTAGCACATAAACATAATTCAAATGTATTTTCTCTAATGCTAGCCATAATAATCTTCTTTACAGTAAGGCAGCTTTGGAGGAAGGTCTTCCTACTGCATCAATAAACTGATCAATAACAGCAGAACATGTAATCACACCAGCTATCCCTGATTTGAAAACGATTATCTTTATTGTTATACACCACTTGAATACTGCTTGCCACTGAAGCTCTAACGTGCTTTTGTGTTGGGAATGAACTAGTGTTATGTCATTATGGATAATCAATATTTTTCTTCCAGAGCTGTCGCTGAAAGGGTTACATGTTGCTGAAAAAAAAGGTCAGGGTTTGTGTGTCGCTCACAAAGGACGGTAGGAGGCTTCCTGATGGAGAAGCGATAGAAAAAGGCCATAGGCGGGATTAAGAAAAAAGAAAAAACATGTAAATGAATTTCAAAATGCAAACACATAAACATAGTACTAGTATGTCAAAGTAATATTAACCCTTATAAATGCTGCCCATGGTAACAAGGACCAGCTTTGGAATTACACTATGAAAAGAGGAAGGAGGGGCTCAACACAAAACAAAACAAGTGCCTGTTCTCAATTTCCCTTTTTCACCTGGTCAATGAAAGCTCACGTGTAGTCAAAATCTTTTACTCTTCTTAATAATCAAGGTGGATACAGTTTTCAGGTCTATAAAATTGCCCTGAAACTCACAATATTAACTCCCACGGTGATCCTAGAATAAATCGAACACATATGTCATAAAGCAGTATTATCCTTCTATAACAGAGGACATGAATCCTCCTATTGTACCCTTCATCAATTATTTCCCTGTCTAGTGCTTCTAAGTAGAAATGCAGTCCATGAGCACTTTTTAACAAAATAATATTCTTCTCTCAAGATGTAATCAAGCATTATCTGCTTCAGTTATAATTCCTGTGTTAGTATTCATAAGACATACACACTCCTGGATGAGCAGTTTGATGTGAGATGTGAAGAACACAAAAACAAACATATATTTTAAAAGCTTCACGATTTGAACAAAGAGAAAGTCCCTCTGACCTCTTAGCAGCAGCAGCAGCATCATTTTTCTCTTTTATCTGACTCTGATGAGACGTGTGGTGCTCCGGCTTCTGGAGTAAAAAGGATATTTTATGTTTGATGTCTTTGGCGCTGTGGGGAGATGGACGAGAGGAAAGTGAGTGAAATGCATTTGAGAAGATTTCCATTTATTTGCATAAATACACATCTGCATATAGTATCTGCTTAATGTAAACAAATAATAAGCAACAGGTTTCATTTTATATTGAACTATTGTTTTAATTACTCGGCTAAAATGACATTTTATATAAAATACCAAAAATATAGAATATACAGTGTATGAAGATCCTATATCACAAAAAATATACTAACACTCCTATCCACCTGTTGCTTAGACTTTATTAGTCTTACCTTTTTAAGCATGTTGCAGGAAGCGTAGCAAGTCCTCTACACATGTTGGAATGTTACTGATCCAAAGTGAGTTCTGTTGTTTTGAATGGCGACAGCACAGCCGGTGTGAATTCAAGCAGCAGAGTTTTCAATATGAGACGGCAGACAGCTGCTGTCTCCACCCCCAGCAGTGGCTTTATACCTCCAGGATGCTACCACTGACACCAAACTGACCAATCAGAGGAGACAGGAAGAGAGAGGGATACTAAACTGAGAGTGGGGGAGGGAGGGAGGGACATCGGGGGAAATGTACTGCAGGTCTTTGTAACCAAATCAAAAGGTGTGTTCTACTGATGACGACCAAAACCATCTCTGTGTGGAAAAACACAGATACTGTAGCTTCATCAAACTCAGTTAAAAATCTAATCCAGAACATCCGTATGTGATTGTTAAGGCATTCAAGAGAATGGTAGTGCATTGTGGGAATTCTGAGACTTGAAAGTTGTGCCCCAAATAAAACATCTTGTTTCTAATTGAATTGAATGAGTTGTATACAATAAAAACAATGTGTCATTGGGTTTTTAGCAGTTTACAAAATAATGGAAATTATTTTTTGCTCTGCCGTAATGAGACATTGCGCAATAAATGTTGTACAAGAGATAAGAAAGGAAACTTTTAAATAACATTGACAATTTAACTTAAAAAAACGATGCAAAATCTTTTTCATTTTCTGTGTCAGTACTGCTTTTTCGCTACTCCAGTCTACACAAACTGTATTAGATTACATTTTAGTTAGCTTACTTTCATCCAAACAAACTTAAATAAGAAAATGTAAGGTGTTTTGGGTTTTCTTTTTTTAATTGATTGCATGTCAGAACTGGTGGGTTTTCATATATAATAATAACAATAAATTGTATTCATCAAGCGCTTCATCAGGTGCTCAAAGACACTCTACAGAGGGGCTGAGGAGGCGGGCGGCAGATTTCTGGATGTGTTGGAGTTTGTTGAAGAGGTTCAACTTATAAATTATTTACCATTTACTAATTCAAACCGTGCCTGTGGAATATCACTGCCAATTAAACAAGAAAATAAAACTATTTTTTTCAAAGATTTAATACTTGAATTCTTGTTTTCTGGCATCTTTATACTACCGACCTCAATTTAATGTCCTGTTTGGAACTAATACATAAAGTGTGATAATAATAATAATAATAATACATTACTTTTATAAAGCGCTTTTCCTCGTGCTCAAAGCGCGTACAAGCAAGTAAAACAAAATAACAACAAAAGTAGAAAGTGCTAAGTTAGGTGGAATAAGGGCAAGGGGCTAGTTGATTAGGAGTTGAAGGCAAGAGAGAAAATGTGAGTTTTGAGGGATTGTTTGAATGATGTGAGAGTGTTGGCGGATCTGATGTGGCTGGGGAGGGAGTTCCAGAGTGTGGGGGAGGCTGCTGCGAAGGCCCTGTCACCCCAGGTCCGGAGCTTTGTCCTGATGGGCTGCAGTAGGTTAGCTTCAGCAGACCTGAGGCGACAGTGGGGGTGTGTCGTTGGATGAGGTCACAGAGGTAAGGGGGGGCAAGGTTGTTGAGGGCTTTGAAAGTGAAAAGTAATGTTTGAAAGTTAATGCGGTGTTTGATGGGGAGCCAGTGGAGGTCATGGAGGATAGGGGTGATGTGGTCGGAGCGTCGTGATGATAGACAACATAGTGTTCTGTTCTCCCGGGGCAAATTGTTTTACATTTGAGCATTGCTTTGTATTACAATGGTGTCCATCAACATCACGCACAGCTGGAGTTAATGGGTAACACTTTATATTAAGGTACACAAATTAACCTTCAACTAGTTGTTCATTAACATGCATATTAGCAGTATATTGGCTCTTTATTAGTCATTATAAAACACTTATTAATGCCTTATTCTACATGACCATACTCTGCAAGTAATAAGCCATTAGTTGAGAGTTTTTCCTCAATAACCCTCTAATTAGTGCTTATTTATTGCAAGTAAGGAAGTTGTTGTACATGAGTTTTGGTCTTAATATGCTCAATATGGGCCTAATAAGGCAGTAGTACCACACGAATAGTAATTCTCCCATAATAACACTTAACATATGATCTATTCTTATGTAACAAGACGTGAAACTATAAGTGTTAATTGTTTCTAAATAACTCAAAATGTGTTATTTATATCTAAAAATATGTTTTGGGGTATTGACAGTTCAGCTAGCACTAGCAAGGTGATATTGACCTGTATGTTTCATATTTGCAAATTTATATTTTTGTGAAATTTATAATGAAGGTTAGACAGGAAACCAGGTACAGGAAGTAGGAGAAAGTTAACTGAATAGCATAGCAGTAGACTACTACTAATTATCCCTATGCAACCTGAAGAGTAAAAGGGCCAAGTCCGTCAGAAAGCAATGACTGTAAGTGTAAATTTAAGCCTTACACTTACACTGTAAGGATTAGTAACATGCATTGTGTTTATGTGATGACATTTGGAGATGTTTAAACTAGGGCTGTCAGTCGATTAAAATATTTAATCGCGATTAATCGCATGATTGTCCATAGTTAATCGCGATTAATCGCAAATTAATCGCACATTTTTTATCTGTTCTAAATGTACCTTAGAGGAATATTTTTCAAGTTTTTAATACTCTTATCAACATATGAGTGGACAATGCTTTATGCTAATGTTTATTATCATTTGAACAATGACAAATATTCTCATGAATATTAAACACAACAACCTCTGAACATTACAAATATTCGCCTCAATTCAACCTGGAACCTCTCTCATACAATAATACAATACAAATGGTGTGTGTGTGTGTGTGTGTGTGTGTGTGTGTGTGTGTGTGTGTGTGTGTGTGTGTGTGTGTGTGTGTGTGTGTGTGGTGTGTGTGTGTGTGTGTGTGTGTGTGTGTGTGTGTGTGTGTGCAGGGTTGGGTTGTAACGGAATACATGTAACGGCGTTACGTAATCAGAATACAAAAATCAAGTAACTGTATTCAGCTCGCGTTACATTTGAAAAACGAGTAATCTGATTACAGTTACTTTCGTAAACCTGAAGTGAATACATTTGGATTACTTATTGGAATTATTGATGGAAATATTTCCTCACAACATTTAATATTCATTATTAAAGGTACAGCCGAATCATCACAGCGCACAAACACTTTTACCGCCGCAGATGGACCAAAAAAGGGAGCGGAAAAAAAGGGGCGGGGCCGCTCAGTGAAACAATAACAACGAAACATGGAGGAACAAAAGTCTGCGTTTAAGTCGTGTGTGTGGTTAAAACACATCAGCCTGCGGTCGCTCTTTAGCCTTATGATTCTGAAGGTAAACACAGCGAAGGCGGTGCGTGAAAGGCACTGCACGCTCGTCTTCTGAGTTAACCCTCCCGCTGCTTCATGGTGCTGCAGAGATTTCATGAAGTGAAGGAGGTGTTCCTTCTATAAAACAGCTGTGGGCAGCAGAGCTGCTGTGAGTGTCACGGACATGAATTCATAGATCAAGGCAGACTGGTGAGTCTCCTGTTTTGCCAATCCGGTGCTTAAACAAATATAGCTCTACACCCCTGGCCGACATGTCCTTAAATGAAGTCCGAGTTCGACATTGTAATTAATGTCCTGCCAACACTGGCAGGACAGAATGCGACACGCCCGTTCTAAGCCCCTCACTCCTCACATCACAAGCTGCATCCCCAAAAAGTGTATTATGTTGTTGCATCGTTTCAGATGTTATGTTTCAGTTGTGCTCTTGATAAACCATTAAAACAGTAAAAACACGTTCAGTTTCCTTTTGCTTTTTGTGTCTCCTGTTCACCAAAACATACCCATCTGTGATGGAAAAAGAAAGTAATCCAAAAGTAATCTAAAAGTAATCTGATTACGTTACTTTTTTAAAACAGGTAACTGTAACTGTATTCGGATTACTTTCAGAGCCATGTATTCAGTAATCAGTAACTGATTACATTTACAAAGTAACCCTCCCAACCCTGTGTGTGTGTGTGTGTGTGTGTGTGTGTGTGTGTGTGTGTGTGTGTGTGTGTGTGTGTGTGTGTGTGTGTGTGTGTGTGTGTGTGTGTGTGTGTGTGTGTGTGTGTGTGTGTGTGTGATAGATCGTTGGAGCTATGTGCAACTCAAGGCATATGCTCGAACGGGAGCTGCCTGGACGCTGCAATCATGTTGCGCACGATCCGTGCTGAGTGTGCTGACTTTTCGTACAATGTCCCACTGTCTGGCTTCCTGCATAAAGTCAAGTGCTCGGTGCAGTTGTGGCGAAATGTCGCTCCTCTGTTTTCATTTAAACAGCTCCATATCCGTTAGCGCAGCTAGCTAGCACCAGATGCTAATAACAACAATGCACGTAAGGTCTCTCTCTCGGTCGCTCGGGCCACACATACACACACCCTCCCGGTCCTCCCAACAGCCAGTCGGTGCCTGCCGGTGAGCGTGGAAGTGTGGTCTGCCACAAGCTGGCGGCAGGAGCGGGGCTGTCAGCATCAGCTTGTAGATGGTATTTTAAACTCGATGCGCTCTGAAACTACGCGGCGGCCGAGGACAAAAAATACACATGCGTTAATCGCGTTAAAATAATTAGTGGCGTTACAAAAAAATTGCGTTAACTTGACAGCCCTAGTTTAAACACAATGAGAAAATGCGTTAGCGTTTGCGCTAGCGTTTGCGTTAGCGTTTGCGCTAGCGTTTGCGTTAGCGCTAGCGTTTGCGCTAGCGTTTGCGCAGAGATGGGGTCGTTACTAAACAAAAGTAATATATTACATATTACTTTTTTAAAAAGTAATATATTACACTACTTCGTTACTCTCTACATAAAGTAACTCGTTACTTTACTCGTTACTTTACTCGCAGGGCCGGCCCGCCACTCCCTGCAGGCAGATCACGCAGACTGCTAAAGTTTCAAATGTTCTCTTTAGTTCAGTTTCCATTGTCACATAAGACTGATCCAGATAGCTCCTGAATGTTTTCCTATCTGACCATGACTGTCCTCTGTCTCCTGCTATCTGTATATTTTGCGCAGTCTATCTCTGCTCACGCTGTTGCGTCGGCGTGTTCTCCTTCGTGTTGGCCATGTGTTGCACTGGAACCAGACTGGAGCACACCGCAAAGACTTCAGCCGAGCACGTACGAACTGAGTGG